ACACCTTTGAGCTGTGGTGCTGGAGAAGAGTACTGAATGTACCATGGACTGCCAAGAAAACAAACCGATTCACCCTAGAGAGGGTTAAAGCAGGCTACTCCTTGGAGGCAAGGATTCTGAGGCTTCGTCTGACATACTTTGGACATGTTGTAAGGAGAGACCGGTCTTTAGAGAGGGACATCATGCTGGGTAGAGTGGAGGGACAGCACAGGTGGGGAAGACTTCTATGAGGTGGACTGATTCAGTGACTGGGGTAATCGGGATGGGTGTGTCACAGGCCATGTGATTGGCATGGGATAGAGTAGGGTTTAGGACTGTTGTACATAGGGTCGCTATGAGTCGCAAACAACGCGATGGCACATAACAACAACAACAACAACAACAACAATATCCCGTTTGAATAATTTCTTAAGTCTATGCACAGGATCCCTATGATGACAAATACATGTTCCTGAATGCCTATTATTCTCAATGTAATCCTTAATTTATGATAATCCATACAGTCAAATAATGTTACATCATCCATAAAACACAAGCAAGCACCTTTCTGGTATTCTTTGCTTTACATCAAGATCCAGCCAACATTAGCTATGACATCCCTCATTTCAGGCTCTTCTAAATCCAGCTTCAATTTCTGCTAGTTCCCTTTGGCAGCTATTTTTAAAAAAATCTTCAGTAAGATTTTACTTTCATATGAAATGAATGATATTTAGTAATTTCTGCATTCTGTTGGATTATTTTTTTTCTGGACGAAATCAGGTATGCTCAGGGTGATATGGTTATAGATTAATCAGCATTTTGGGGGAATAGGAGCAAATATAGATCTCTTCCAGTCAGGAGGCCACATACCTTAGTTCTAAATTTCTTAGCATAAATGAACACATTCAAGGCTTGTTTGTTAGAATACCCCAATTGCTATTCTGCCCATTTCTGAAGCCTTACTTAACCAATGTCTTCAGTGCCGCCTAAACGCGACACTTTCTATATCATTCAATATTTTGGCAACTGACTCCTTCAGTGTTGCAACATGAAGTTTAAATTTTTCTTCAATTATTTCCACTTGAGAAGTTAGAAATATGAAAAAAACATTAGGGATAAGAAAAGATGGAATGAAATCTATTGTACCAATTATCAGTGGGGCTATCACCAGGAACTTAACACAATATGAAGAATATTATAATCACTCAATAATGTCACTCACTAGAATCTATTGTCTAGAAACTAGAATGCAAGCAGATTTTACTCCATACATTTGCACATAAAAGGAGCTCTTGGTGGCCTAGTGGGTATACAGTTGCACTACTCATCCAAAGGATGGCAGTTTGAATCCACTAGCTGCGCCAAGAGAGAAAAATGAGTGTCTTCTACTGTGTGCTTTACAGTATCGGCAAACCCAACAGAGATTCAGCTAGGAGTCAGTTTCAACTCAACAGTACATATATTACATAGCATTTGCACAAAAATCAAACTGAACAAAAGCAAAAAAAAAAAAATAACCCTCTACACATTAAAATTATATTCTATTTACATAAATATGAAAATAGAAACAAAATGGCAACTCTAAACAATATTTGTTTAGAGAAACAGACATAGAAGAGCAAAAGGAGATGAAGTTAGTTGGAAACAGGCCTCAAAGACTCTGATTAAAGGACACATTTTCAACAGGCAAGTCTAACTTCATAGGCTCTTAGAGCTTACTATTAGTCAAGAGCCCCTTTCAAGAAAGAGGCCAACCTACCAAGTAAAAGCCAATTCTTTCTGAGCACAATTATCCCTTAATTTAATATATACATGGACAGATATTTACTGCAGGGTAAAAAATGCTGTAAAAAAGAAATTCTCATAAAAATACAAGGCTAAGAAAACATAAGGATCAAGGTCACAGCTACTATCTGGGGGCCATAAAACCAACAGCATCAACACTGGTACTATATAGTCTGATGGTCATCCCACAGGACCAGTCAAGAACCCCTAAGGGGTAAGGGTAGGCAGGACGCTCTAAACTCTAGTGCTACTTACTTAGAGGAGCAGAAGGCATGTAGACCTTGAAGTCAAGTCAACATGGACTAGAATTCTAAATTTATCTTCTGATTATGTGATTCTGAACAAGTTATCCTGTGCTATTCATTTGTAAAGTCCAGTACAGGTAACCAATATGATTTTGCAAGCGGCCCAACCCCCTTGTCTGATAGGAGGATTTCACCTTCTCCATTTTCCCAGACTCACCCTAAGTATCACCCGTGGAAGTATCCCCCCACCCTTCATTTAGGAGGGGCAGGTACCTCAGCACACTGGACCTTGGCAATATAGCCATTGTTCTGAAGCTCCATCCAGTTGGCTTCATAGAGTTTGGGTCCAATCAAAAAATTCAAGTCAACAATCTTGTCATCTTCCCGGACAAGAGTGGCCGTCAAGCCCAGTTTGCAGTGGGCCTGCACAATAGTCAGTACGCGCCGGAACATTCTGGCTGAGGGAGAAAGAAGTTACTTGTCACTTTTAAACATGCTCATGTACCACACAGAGTTTGTGACTTACACTGGCCATGGTACACCTTGGGTAACTCTGGGTTTCTGGGTCACAAGAATCTAGCTTTAGAAAGGAATGACCGGCATAAATACAGAACCATCACTTTCAATCACAACTAAAAAGACAAATGAATAAGGAGAACAAAAGGAAGAAACAGCTTTGTGAAAGCATGAGCTAAGTGTACTTCTATATATATAGTTCAGCAATCAAGATTTCTATCTCCAACACTTAATATGAAAGTTAGTTCTAAATGATGCAAAAAAGACTACTGGAATTCTAGGGCTTTGTTGTTGTTATGTACTGTAGTCAGAACCAAGCCTGAGCTGACCCTCCATCAGGTTTTCAGAGGCAGTGAGTCACACGCCTTCTTCCAATCTGTGGGGTTAAAGGAGTAAAATGAAGCTGGCACTGCTTAGTTTCTCACCAACTTTCCAGAAACAAGAGAGAAAGTAAGCCCAAGGAAAATAAAGCTCAGGCTTTATTCCAGGCACCTTGCCCTCATGAGGCACCAATTTTAAATTTAACCTGTGAAACAAAGTTGTCTTTTCTTTCTTTTGAATGTTGTAATTGTTTATGATTTATTAAATATACAAGTAGCTGAGTACAAGATAAAATAATTAAAAAAAAAAAAAAAGATGTTCCATGGGTGCACCTTTTGAAAGTTCTAATATAATCACCCCTCACTTAAGAAGATAGTGTTCAAAGACCAGGTGGTTGTGGGGAAAATCAGCATCACGTGGAAAATGGGGGATGAAGACATCACCTTACCCTCTTAGCTGGACTGCACCTCTGGAGCCCTGCGGGGGTCACCAGCCACTATTCTGCACCACTGCCCTCACAGGAGAACCACAGTTCTCTAGAGCCAAGGTGGCACAAGTGTTTTCTCTCTCCGACTGTATTTTCAGAATGGTAGGTTCTGGCACATGCCCAAAATGCCTTTGGTGACCTTTCCGAGGACAGCAAGGTCTTTGTCCATGGGAAGGAGGTTGTGGCTGTCATAGGAGGTGTATGCTGTCCTTGGGTTTCCATGCTGGTCCCTCATCAGCAAGACTCACTAGGTGGCTCTACTCTGCTCCTCCCTCAGGTCCCCACATGGTTGTTGCTCCCGTGTGCTGTCACATGAGAACTGAGTTATAGCTGATCCTCCAATGGGTTTTCAGAGGCAATAAATCACACAGGAGGAGACTCTTGCAGAGCAGCTGGTGGATTCGAAGCAAGTGCCTTTGGTATTGCAGTGCATCTTCTTACCACTAGGCCATCAGAGCTTCTGACAAATATTAATTAGGGGATTAAGTCTTTAAAGATCCCCTACTGAAAGGAAACTTCCTGTTACAGATTCAAAGAGACTGCTGAGTTAAGAGAAGTAGAGAAAAGAGTCATGCAGGTTAACTGGAAATAGCCACTTAAAAAGTCACTTCTGACTCAACAAGAGTGGAATCTCAGTAAGATTTCCAAGATGAAAATGTGCTAAAACTAGAGTTCTCTTTATGTCATCACCACTTGCTAATGTTTCCTGTGAGGGGGTGAGTTGTGGTTGACTGAAAAATGAAGAGGTGCACACATGGTGGTAAATTTAGCAAAACAAGTGAAAAAGGCTTATTAAGGTAAGGCAATGGAGGCAATGGTTGGTGAAAGATAGAGACAGACCATGTGAAGGAGTTAAAAAGGAAAGAAGGGACATCCCAGCAAAGTCAGGGGTGGACTCAAACAATCCTTAAGAACAGACAAATGGTAGCTTCCTCCAAGGCTGCAACGCAAGATAGCTGCCTCAGCCACTAACTCACTGATCCCATCTCTACCCAGGTAGCTTGTCCCATCTTTATCCATATTCACCCAGGAACAGGGTATGGAGGAAGCTGGAGGGCCTACGGAGGTGTTGGCCATTTATATATGATCTCACAGGCTGTGGGCATCTGGAATGCCCCATTTCAGGTCTTCTGATTTCTGGCTTATCTTCGTCACCCCTCAGGGCTGAGAACTAGGCCATCTGGTCCTACTACTTACTCACCCCCTTTCAGTCTACTACTTTCTAGTTATTGCTGTTGCTGCTGCCCTGACCTGAGCTCATGTGGGCACCCAGCACAAACTCCAGTTCCTTCACTGTTCCCTTCCCCTGACATCCTAGAAGCTTAAGGAGACTACAATCCCTCCCTCTCCCAGGCAGGAAAACCCTATGCAATATGACCATCCCTTCTTTGTGCATGTAGTCAGGGGAGGCCACCAGGGACCCCAGCATTCATTACCAGAACAGTACACAGAGGGAAACTACCAGAAATGCAAGCTGGATTTAGAAGAGGACATAGAATGAATGATGTCACTAATGTCAGTTCCTGGCTTGAAGCAAAGAATGCCAAAAAGCTGTTTACCTATCTTTTATTGGCTATGTAAAGGCTTTTGGTAATGTAGTACATAGCAAATTACGGGTAACACTGTGAAGAATGGGAATTCCATAATACCTAACTGTGGCTATGAGGAAACTGTACATAAACTAAGAAGCAGTTGTTCAAACAACAGGATACTGCATGGATTACGTCCAGGGGATGGTGTGCCAGGGCAGTATTCGTTCACTGTACCTAGTCAATCTGACTGCTGACCAAACAATCTGAGAAGCCAAACCATATGAAGAACATAACATCAAGGTGGAAGGAAGACTTAAAACAAGTTGTGATAAAAATAATGAAATTTAAAAAAATTTTTAAGTAATACCTTTCTCCAGCAGTGTCACTGGATGATTTGAATCATATACCTTTGGGATGGCCATACAGCTCATTATCATTTGGCCAATGTTTAAACTGGGAAAATAAGTATTATAAATACTCCTTCAAGCTCTGGTAGCTCATTGGTAAAGAGCTGCCAACTCAAAGGTACTCAGTTCAAATCTACCAGCTGCTCTGCAAGAGATGGATGGGCAATCTCAAGTGAAAACTGTCTGAAAATCTGCTACAGGGTGAACTAGTCGGTTCCGACTTGATGGTACACAAGTCCATGGATCTTTCCTCTAAAGGGCTAATTATATCAGTAACGATGTTGTTGTTATGTGCCTCTAAGTTGCCTGGGACTCATAGTGACTCTAAGTACAACAGTTCTGAAGCCAGCCCTGTCCTGAGCCAGTTTCATTGACTTCGACACAACTACCCCCATTGCCCCGGTTACTGTATAAATCCAGCTCATCTGGACTCTTGCTTTCCTGTGCTGTCCCTTCACTCTTCTGAGCATGACGTCCTTCTCCAAGGACTGGTCCCTCCTGGCCAAGTGCCCAAAGTATGTGAGACGGAGCTTCGAAATCCTAGGCTCCAAGGAGAAACTTGATTTCATACTTGTTTTCCTGGCAGTCCATAGTATGTTCAAGACTTTTCTCCAGCACCACAACTCAAAGGCATCAATTCTTCTGTCACCCTTACTCACTGTCCAGCTCTCTGACGCATAGCACGTAACTGAGAAGACCATGGCCTGGATCAGGTGCACCTAAGTCTCTAAACTGACATCACTGCTTCTCAGTAGTACTCTGGAGAGTTCCCTGATAGCAGATTTTCCCAGTGCAATTTGTCTTTTGACTACTGGTGCCAATTAGTGCTGCTTGTGGAGCTCAGCAAGCTGACATTCTTAACAATCTCAATTCAATCTCTTCTCCATCTATCATGGAGCTGCCAATTGGCCCAGTAGTGAGAAATCATTCCTTCTTGATGTTGAGCTTTAATTCATATTGAAGACTACAGTCCTTGACCTTCTGCAGCAAGCACTTCATGTCCTCCTCAGTTTCAGCAAGCAAGGCTGTGTTATCTGCATAGCACAGGTTGCTGGTAAGACTTCCTCCAATCCTGAAGCAATATTCCTCTTCATAAAACCCAGCTTCCTGAATGATCTGTTCTGTATATAGATTGAAGAGGTATGACAGGACACATCCCTGATGTACTCCTTTCCTGATTTTCAACCATGCAGTGATGCAGTGTTTCTAAAACAAAGGCCTGAGTAGGCACCTCCAAAATCAAGGTGCCTGTCACAAGGAGAGGTTAGATGTAGTTTGGACTCTTCTGTTGTTTACTGCTCATTATGAGCTGACTCTCAAAAGTCACCAAGGGTACCTGTAGCTCAGGTTGCCTTTGCCCATCACCTCTCTCACAAAGTACTCACAGGAAGAACTCTTACTCAGGCTGGGCCCAGTATTCCAATATGCATTCACTCTCATTGCCAGAGAGATGGAACCAATTCTAGCTGATCCTCTAACTGGGGTTTTAAGGCTGTGAAGTGAACAGAAGGAGCTTAGCTGTCTTTCTCCCATAGAGCTGCAGGTGGATATGAACCATGAGATTGCACTATGAGTTAACTCCCTATGGAGCAGGCCAAAAGAGCTACCTAACATATTCATTGATTAACAAGACGTTAATTGATTCAAACTTCTGATTAATAGAACAATGCATAAAATGTCTTACAACCCCTTTTTTTTTGTTTTGGATCATTCATACACATTTTATAACATTAATGAGCAATGATTAACGTAACTGATTAATTACAATGTCTCATCAGCAGAGGGCACTGTACTGTCTTAGTGGTATGGAGTTGTGCTGTTAACCAGGCACTAGGTTATAATGAATGCACTAGGTTAGAATTCACCAGCTGCTCTGCATGAAAAATCTTCTCTGTGACATACTGCCTGTGAAAATTCACTGGAGGGGCAGCTACGAGCTGGTTCTGACTCAATGGCACACAACAACACTTAACTGCTTATTTTTTATATTGCATTGCTCTTCCCTTCATCCAAATTATCTATAAAATTTTTTATTTGCTTGGTTTAACTATCATTTTATTGTTAAGGTATGATTTTGTAAATAGCAACCAATTAATATTTTTCCTTCAAAGTTCTTGAATGTTCTGTACTTAAACTCTGAAAACAAACAAACAAACAAACAAAAATACCCTTCCTCTTCTCAGAATATTCTGGTT